CACGATAATTGCATTACAAGTAGCTGTCTTAGAAGTGTTTAAGATGCAAAGCAGATAACTGTTCCGCAACGACGAACTTCAGAAAAAAGTCAAAGCCTTAGATGCTACGATTAGTCTTAGGGTAGCGGAAGCAAAATTCAGAGAAAAGTTATCTCCTGAGAGTTGATTAGCGGTTTCAACTCGGCAACCAATCCAATCGATCACACTTTATCCCATCATCATTTTAAACAGAGATGAAATCGCCCATAGATTAGTAACGATAAAGCCACCAATTTCCATATATTGCAGGCCCTCCGACAAGTCTCAATTTCTCCAGTAATAACCATTATCAGACTTATAAGTATGCGGTTGTACAAATATAACAAACAAATTAAGGCACTCGTTCCTACTTATGAAGAAAAGCGAACATACCCGCATCAAGACGGCGTCCACATCTTCAGGTGCTTTTTGGGCAAGTTCACCCAATTGGCGAGCGGCAGTAACACGCAAGGTCTCATTTGGGCAACTCTCCAGGAGGACGAAAAGGCGGTCCAAACTGTGGAAGAATCGAAAGTGCTGTGAGCAGCCCAACTATAAGCTTTACCAGAGGTTCACTGACAAGCTGGAACGTGGACTATCATAAAGGGGCTTCAACAGAATACATCACCCCAATAGAGAAACTAAGATGAGCATGTCTAAACCAAGAAGTACCCTGCATACCGACCTCAGACGACAAGCCAGTGAGTAAAATCACATGCATGCCGTGGTTGACAAACCAAGACAACTCTTCTGATGCATTACTGGTGTTTTGCAAGGCAAGGCCTGCCTAAATCGCTTCTATTTTGGCGACCCAGAGCCATATCAAAACCGCAATTCATGACCATAGGATAATGGAGAGCCGCTGTATTTATCACTTGCCTAACCAACTTACCCATAACCGTTATCCAAATAACTTGAAAAAAAACAACGATAGCTCTCCAAACCCTGTATAAATGTCTAAAAGGCTCTTCGAAGCGAGCATAGGCGAAAAAAATAACCGAAAGGAACAATTAAGTAGTAATTTACCGGCTCGTCATCTAAGATAGCAGGAAAAACCGCCAACGTCCACAGATATTCCACCAAGCACCTGCAGCAAAACAGCGAGCACAGCCACACTCCGAACATATTTATAGTGAGAGCCATTTCTACTTACAAAGGGTTAAAAAGGACCCCCGACGTCTCTCATTGGTCTGGTTCTGATTCATTTCAGCATGGCTACGTTTTCGACCTTCGATTTAAAATAAATAAACAAATATTAAAATGTTCCACTAAAGGCGAGAGTTATGTTTGTCGAATACTAAAAGTAAAAATTTCAGCTGTTATTAACAGATCTAAATAAAATGTAGATGTAACTTTTGTGACACAAAAAACTAAACCGGAAAAATCAAATACACACATTAAAATCAATAATGGTTTCATTAACAAACAAAATTTATGTATTTTTGATGCAGGTTTAATGTTTACTAGGCGGCAAATGCAATACTTAATTTATGCGACCATATGGCGTTTGGCGTAAAGTGTAGAATTTGTCTGAATCTTGTTTTTGAAAAACTTCTGCTGCGGCTGAGGTAGGGTCTTTCTCTGCGGAATCCTATCTCTTGAAGGAGAAATTTAGGATTAGTAAGCGCATTCTGGCGTTGTGCACCGACCATCATGACTTATACATGCTTAGAAGGAAATCTGACTTTATCGAAGTGCAGTAGATGAAGACAGGCGAAAAGGAGTCGTTAATTGAAGGAAGCGCATTTGCCTTGATGACGAAGAATCCCCAGCACAACGTTTTGTTTGTGTGACTATCTGACGTTTGGCGGTCACTTTGGCGCTTGTCTAAGCCCAGTACACGTGGACTGGCCTTCGAGCCACGCTCAGGCTCCCATTTCTCCTATTGTTTTCGGAATACGTGTATTCAACCTCACTTATGCCTTCTACTACCTCATTTGGAGACTCGGGACGCTACACTGGTGGCAGCGGAAAGCGAACCCGACATCAAATTACGACTTTTAGGTATAAGGTGCTTTTGAAAGCGACATAGTGTGTGCTAAAATGTGTTGCCCAACAGACACCAATTAGCCGACTGATTTCCGGGAAATAACAATACGAACAAACCGACGAGCAATGGTTCGATCGGACGATGCACTGGTTCAATACATGCAGATACCCCAAAATCGGGTTCCCTCGGCCGGAAAGTCGAAATCTCTATTTTCACGACATGAAGGTTATAATCCAACCAGCAGACAAGGCTGCAAACGAATTCTGCTTCTTAGGGGAGAAATCCAAGATTAAGAGGCACATTCTGGCAATCATGAGCTATAGGTGCGTAGAAGGAAGTCTGACTCTACCTATCGAAGTGCAGTAGATAAAGATACAGGCGAAAACAGGACGTGAATTGGAGGGGCGCATTTACCTTGATGACGGAGGATCCCTGGACCCTTCACAACGAAAGGGTTGAGACT